TCCACGCATTCCAGCCTGCTTGGACTGTTGTGTGCAGTCATAAGACACACTGACAGAGGTATTTATCCTCCAATAAATCACTGTAGTGTTAGTCAGAGGCTGAGCCTGCAGTCTGGAGCCCTGGAATTTGCTACAGTCAGGAATCCAGCAACAAGGCCCTGCAAAACAATGAGCTCTCGCAAACAGAGGTTGACTCATAATTTAGATCCTGGATGCTCAACGATGTGGAGTTTATTCTTTTGTTACCAGGAATTTCTTCTCCCACATTCTTTCTTCCCCAAACCCAAATAAGAGACTTTAAAAAAATATATGTTTTATTGGAAGGAAAGGGGATATATGTTTTATTGGAAGGAAAGGGGAGGCAGCCCTGAGATATAGTGTGTTTTGGAATTATACATGCCTTAGTTTTAATCCAGATGCTGCCTCTTACCAGTTGTGAGGCCTTGGACAATCACTCAATTTGGGCTCAATAGCTTTCTTTGTAAAATGGGCAATAATAATAGTTAATGTGTAGAACTGTTGTGAGCTTTTGAGTTAAAATTTGCAAGGATTTTGGCACAGTACAATACTCATTTGATGTAGCTATTACTTTTTATTAGTAGCGAGTCCATTATTCAGATACTGTACTGATGATAGAGAATGAGAATATTATTATGGTGAATTTAATGTTTGAGTGTGTTTTATCAGAAATTTGGTGTCAAATCCTAGCTTTATCTTTCAATGGGAGTAATTATAGTTCCGTCCTCATAGGATCATTGTAAGTGCTTTAGTTTGGTGCCCGGCAGACAGTAATCATTAGCTTTAGTCATTACTAATATTGCTGTTAGAATGTTCAAACATTTAGAAAATGATTTTGTAACTCCTTGGATAGTTACAAACATGATCTTGAAGTACAGGTCTATGATGACACTATAAATAAAGTATAAATAATAGAAATAGAATTGCTAGGTTTCCTGTGCAACTCACAGTTGGATTCATCATGCAGAGCTTTAGAAAAATAGAAACAGCAATACCCCCCATGGACCAGACTCCTGGACCTAAGGAGGAAAGGCGGTCAGTTTCTTTTGGTGCCACTTGTTTTCTATGTGGTAGTTATTCATTTTGGCAACATTACTATTATTTTTATGTGTGTTTGCTAAGAGCTGAATGACAGATTTCACAGGCAAATTGAAAAGATGCTGCATCTCTAACTTTTTGATGTTGTAGGGTACTTAGACGTATTGCTGTTTGATTCGGTGAAATGATCCCTGTTTGAGGTATAGCATGTACTCTCTTTTTATTCACTATGTCTAGGAAGTTTTCAGTAACGTATCACAAATTCATACTGGAAAAGAATGGTTTAGTGTATTTGTTTAAGGGAATTACAAAACGATTTTTGCTCTTACATCTTAATGTCATGTAGTGAAATATATTTTGCTTTATCACTAAAATATCAAAATAGTTCTGGAGGAAGGAGTGTTGCTGAAAAACAGTTTTGACAGCTAGCTAAGAGGGTCTCAAAGATGCATGCTTTGGCTATATTTCATTATAATTGTCATATTGAGATATTTTACAGTAGAGCAGGGATCCCCAATGCCTGGGCCATGGACCGGTACCCGTTTGTGGCCTGTTAGGAACTGGGCTGTGCAGCAGAAGATACAGTGGCTGGCAAGCGAGCAAAACTTCATCTGTATTTGCAGCTGCTCCCCAGCGCTAGCATCACTGCCTCAGATCATCAGGCATTGGATTCTCATAGGAGCCCCAATCCCTGGTGCCAAAAAGGTTGGGGACCGCTGAAGTAGAGAGATGGAGAGATCTAGTGGCACTGAGCAGCCCTGAGCCAGAGTAGGAAGCTACAGAGAGTATGATTAAATTTCATCTGATTTGATGTGGGGAAGAGGAGAAGTGAGAAGAGAGGTTTCTTTGGTGATTTCTCTAGAACTTAGAAATTGAGAATTTCTAGGCTCTTATTCCAGCCCCTTATAACCTGGGTCTTTTGAACTCATTATTTTCTTGATATGGTGACTCTGAGAAATATATACATATATATTTGTGTTTTGTTTGTGTGTTTCCTAAGAAGAATGTTAAGAACATGAATGTCTTTTTTGGAAGTTACAAAGTACTCTGCCTACTACTTAGAAAGAAAGTGGATTAAGGTATAAAGTGTGTTGAGGTGAGTATAGAGTGGGGTTCTTCTCATGGAAATGTCAATAAGTAATTTTTTTCTCTGACCTTGGTGTTTAAGTATGTGATCTGGTGAGGAAGGGCTCTCCCTTTCCCCTGTTATTCGTATGGACTCATGGATTCCTGTTTCATTCAGTGAGTTCTAGCAGTCCCAGATTTGGCAAATAAGAGCCCCTTCAACTGGCTCTTGTGTCCTTGTTACATGTCTCTCTTTTTTTCCTTTGAGCACTTTTTTATTTTCTGGCAAACAAGATGCTCACCTTGTAACTTAACCTGCCCTGGCCATGCAATCAGCCATTTCTCCAGGGTACTCTGATATCTTTTAGTGGGAAATAGTATTTAGAAGCCAAGATCTGAGTGTTAGGTGTTACTGTGGTGTCATTGCCTCTAGATTTGACTTGTCTAATATGGTAGACACTAGTTACATGTGGCAATTTACATTTAAAATTAAATAAAGTAAAAAATTTAGTTCCTCATTTACACTAGCCACATTTCAAGCTCATTAAGCACATGTGGCGAGTGGCTACCGTATTGGACAGCACACATATAGGACATTTTTATCACAGAGAGTTCTGTCGAGCACTGATTCTAGACCCTTTCAGTGGAAAGAGCTGGCAAAGGATGAGTTCATATTAATAGAGTTCTTCCTTGTCCTTCCTCATTCCAAATTTGTGTCTCCGTGGTTCCCAGCAGCGTCAACACATTTTCTTATTGTTCAGTCCTATAGTGCGCATAAAATAATTTCAGAATTACTGTGGCCATACTACTTTGAAAAACAAACCTACTAAAAGTTTTATATTTGTTGATGGTTCTTTTCTTCCCTATGCTGAGGGAATAATAGTCAAAGTGCCAACTTCAGTAGTTATTTCCCCTCCCCACCTTTTAATGGTGTTGTGTTAATTAACATATACATGGGTCCATTAATTTCTGTTTCCATTCAGTTGTAGATTTTTTCCATTATTGTTTATTTCATTTCACTCTTGGAATATGTGAAACATTAACATGCTTCTAAAAGTCACCAACCATTTTGTAGTATAAGTAAAGTCATTATGCTGTACACTTTAATCTTATACAGTACTGTCTCAGTTATATCTCAATAAAACTGAAAGGAAAAAAAATCAAAACTATATTAAAAAGTACTTGGAGAAGTATTCCCTTCTCTGTCTCTTTCGCTTCTTTAGTTCCCTGCTCCTGTCTGTGATTGTCCTTTTCAAGTTTCTTTTTGTTAAAGTAAGCACATACGTGAATGGTTTCTCCTTTCTCCTTCCTTCTCATACATAAGGCAACATTTTTATGTACTTGCGTTCTGGTGTTTTCATTCGACAATATATTGTGGAAATCTTTTCCCCCTAGTTCCCCATCCTTCTTCACAGCTGTCTCGCACTCCACTGCATGCGTGGGCCAGAGTTCATTCAGCCAGTCTCCTTTGTTTGGACATTTAGGTAATTTCCAATATTTTATAATACTAATAATGCTGCAGTGGATAACCTTGTGCCTTTGTAATATTTTATGTTTTTGTAATAACAAAATCTCTTGAAGGCTAATGGTGTAATATAATAGCATATAGTATAACAGCATGTAGTATAACAGCATGCTAAATTCATACTGGTTTTGAGACATAATCTAGGCTGCTTATCTGGTAGAACCTAGTGAGAGTTCTGTGTTGAATTCGATCTAAGGTGACTTTCGGAAACAAAGCAGTTTTCAGCTTTGTGCATG